ATATGTAAATAAAACATAATAATATAAATTAATAAAAAAATATAAAGTAATAACATTAATGGCAGTGTTTTGAGTTTTTGTGTAATTCTGTAAATTATCATAAAAAATGTAGACACAATATAAAATATCTTAATAGCCCTTAAAAACTGTGAATTCCGACTGATTTTGTAGGTAAATATGACCCAGACATGTTCTTGACAGTTTGTGTTAGATTCACCCACACAAACACACTCTATCCGGTCTAACTGGAGTTTCAAAGCTTTGAGGTCATGTACTTATTAGGTTTGTTTAAAAATGACATCATCGCAGCTGCTTATGACCTCATCAGCCCAAGACACGGGAAATAGGCCACATGTGATCCGCATTAGAACATGGGCTCATGCTGTGGGAGAAATTGCAAAAGATTTTAACAAAGCAGCATGAAACGCTCCACAAGAGCGACTGAATATCTGGGCAAACTTGAGACCACAATTGCCGCATGCAGACGCTCACACGTGTGACTGTGTTCACAAACACACACACATCCAGGCAGCGTCTGGACATTCTCAAGAGTTAAAAAAAAACAACTACAGAAACCAAACCATCCAATGACATGAACACACACACACACACACACACACAGTGGCAGCGTCTGGAGACCTTTAAGATCATTACCAAAAGGAACAGGCATGTCTACCACTGCATTTTCCCTGCGTTCCTTTTGTCCACCAACCCTCCGTCAGCATTCGCTCCTTCATTTCTCCTTTTCTCCATCACTCACCTCCACTTCACTTCTCCATTTAATTATAATGGAGTCTCTGACCCTACAGCAAAAGTTTCTTGGTCTTTTATGTTCAGCTTCTTCAACTGCAGCACTCAATGATGGATTATTCAGACTGTGTTTTCACTAGGAACCATTATAACGTTTAATATGGAATGCTGGGATACTGAACCAAAACATCTGTGCAATGTTTCTTTAATGTTCTCCCTCATCCGGGCAGAGAAAGCTTTTTTATCCTATTTACATACAAATATTGCATATTTAAATGTTCGATTTGTCATTTAAAGGGGTCCTATTATGCTTTTTCACTGTTTTAATTTTAGTCAGTGTGTAGTGTGTATGTTTGGGCATAAAAAAGATCTAGAAAGTTACAAATCTCAAAGTTCACTCCAAAGAGAGATATTTCGTTTTTAAAAAAATCCCTTTTCAAGAACTACAACGAACGGCTCGTTTGGACTACAGCGTTTGTTTTCCGGGCTTTGTGATATCACAAAATGGCTCATTAGAATTTCATCACAAATAATTCCCGCCTACAGAAATTCGAATGGTTGGGGGGTGGGGAGGGGCGAGGTTGTGGTTAGAACGCTTGGTTGAGTGAGTGCATCAAATGTTGTTTCCGCCCAGATAAACTTTTAAAAATAATGTATTATTTTTCAAACGTTTTATTTTAACTTTTTATTTAAAATGTGTTAAAATGACAGTAATTTGAATGATAAAATCATGTTGTTGTATTTTTTTTTTCTGTCGTGTAATCGACTATTGTTTTCAGTGTCGACTAGTAGGAGCTGTACCGTTTAGTTGACTAGTCGACTAGAGCCGCACATCCCTGAATAGGACCCCTTTAAGCAACACCAAACAGAACTGCAAAACTTGTAGACAAATATAGTTATTGTAAATAAATAAATAAATAGTTCACAGGTTCGGAGTCAGTGAGACTTTAATGTTTTTCAAATAGGTTTCTAAGGCTGCATTTATTTAATAAAAAATACCGTAATACTGTAAAATATTACTACAATTTAAAAGAGCTGTTTTTATTTGAATATGTTTTAAAATGCAATTTATTCCTGTGATGCAAAGCTGAATTTTCAGCATCATTACTCCAGTCTTCAGTGTCACATGATCCTTCAGAAGTCATTCTAATATGCTGATTTGCTGCTCAAGAAACATTTCTTATTACTATTAATGTTGAAAACAGTTGTGCTGTTTAATATGTTTGTGGAAACATTTTTTTCAGGATTCTTTGATAAAAAAGAAAGTTTAAAATAACAGCATTTATTTGAAACAAATATTTTGCAACAATGTCTTTACTGTCCTTTTGATCAATTTAATGCATCCTTAATGAATAAAAGTATTAATTTTTTTTTTTTAAACCTTTGAACAGTCGTATGTACAGGAAAAAATAATAACCAATCATATCACAGCCTAACACATTTCAACCAATAAAATCCTGACTCAAATTATCAAGTCCCACCCCCTTTATTTTCTACACAATATTTGGTTCCACTCAGAAACATTACACAATGCATCACATTATAGAAGTTAAATATCTAGTGATTGTAATCTCATGTCTTTATGTCAACTCTCTTGCCTTTAAAACTGCTGTTCTCCTTTAAAAGTGAAACTCTAAACATTAAGCATTTCTTTCTTTAAATATCTTTCTTCCTCTCTCATTTTCTACTTCTGTCAGGTGAGAGAGAATGATGAAACAGATCAAGCAGACAGTGCAATGAGTGACGTGTGAATCATGCTGATTTCAACCACACTTCTGTAGGATTTGTACCTCAGAGGGAGAGATTCTCCCAAACACACACACACACACTTGTGCTGACCTGTACATGTGCTGTGGAAACCCCCCTCAATGATGTCAGTAGACATGAGCCACAAACTCCTCATCCTGACCAGAACTTTCCACAAAAACATCACCTTTGCCTCTATGTGTGTGAGATATTTATGCACTGTTAAATATGAAGCAAACTTTTCCATCTGATACAAACCTAAAACTGATAACAGTGTGATGCTGCAGGAGACTGAAGATAAACATCTGCCTTGCTGTCTACTGTCTACACGTGTGTATTTGGAACTCTCTACATGTGCAAAATCTCACTATACAAATACACTGTAAAAATGATTGAATTCCAAAGTTTATTGGAGTACTTATTTATTTAAAGGTATAGTTCACCCAAAAATGAAAATTACCCCATGATTTACTAGTTACTTCAATAGTCCAAAAGAAGTCCAATAAAGTGCATCCATCCATCATAAATAGTGTCCCACACTGCTCCGGGGGGTGAATAAAGGCCTCCTGAAGCGAATCGATGCATTTGTGTAAGAAAAATATCCATATTTTAAATTTTATAAACAGTAATATCTCTAGCTTCTGCTAACTGTCGTACGTGCGTTCACAATAGTCTTTTGGACTATTGAAAAATAACACCCATTCACTGCCATTATAAAGCTTGGAAGTGCCAGGATATTTTTTAATATAACTCTTGATTGCATTTGTCTGAAAGAAGAAAGTCATATACACCTAGGATGGCTTGAGGGTGAGTAAATCAAGGGTTAATTTTCATTTTTGGGTGAACTATCTATTTAAATAAATATTTTGGAGTGCTTCTTTCAAGTAATATGAAGTTTACTTATTTAAGAAAATATTATTTCAGTTTTTCTACTTCAAAAGGTCACATTTAATCAATGTTTCACTCAACTGGTTCCGATAGAGTTTCATGTTAGCCTTGATGGTAGCATAAAAAAGAAGCATAAAAACACAAATATTGGGTGCATTTTAATTAAACAGAACTATTTATATCAAGATTGTCCATTACCACATACAAATTAAGTATATTTATAGTCAAAATATCTCTCATCTGCCATCGTTGAGTTCATCCCAATGCATTCTGGGACTGTCTTCTATTAAGTATACATGCTGTTGTTGATTTCAGCCAGAATGAGACATCTTAGAAGACAGCACCATTTTGCACCCTAAAAAGTGTGACTATGATGCAAAAAAAAAACGTCGTCTAGGCAGCTCACAGGCTCACAAACATGCAGTATTTTCTATCATGTTTTAAGAAACAACTAGAGAAATTTAAGCACACCTAAATTAACCCAATATTGCTCAACAGATTTGCTTCATGCAAATAACACACTCTTTTTGTCTGTTTTCTCTATGATTTTGAGATTCCCTCTTATTCCCCAGTCTTTCATCTCTTCTCTGTTTATCTTACAGGTCCATAGTGAAATGTGTCAGCATTTAAGAGAATTGAATTACATGTGCAGGCTTTGAAATGAAATATGATTTTGCTGTGTGTATACGGCAGGGGTTTGGTTAAGGTTCTGTGGTGACTCGGTGTCTCGCTCTGTGGAAAAAAAACACACGATTCTTTCCATTTTCTCCAAACACTTCAACTTCAAACTGAAAGGTAGACCAAACCTTAAAGACACATCAGCATTCCATGAACCCTGTGTGTCTGCGGTCAAAACCCTCGGGATGAACACTAACATTACCTACAGTCCTTCTGAATGACTCACATCCACTCACGGACTCTTCCAATCCCACAATCCTTCAGTTTTTGCTATCAAGTCACACCGAGCGAACACAAAATTTCTCTGGAAAATGTTAATGTTTTGCGAGCAAATGCGAAAGAACTGAAATATATTTTTTCCACCCATCTCACTTTTTTCACTATCACTGTCTCTTTAAGGGACACACAGACTGCACACATAACATGAGTAGTATGACATGTCTTTCTGAGCAATAGAGTCTGAACAAATACAAGCACAACCATACTTCACATGTACTTTATACTTATTTTAAATATTTATGGTTAACCTGACTATTAAACAGACAAGCATACATGACAGTCTATAAACCCTTGTGCCAGAGGGTAACCCTACAATCTTACATTAGCACTACATAACCACGACGAGTTGCTAAACAAATACGCACACGTTCCTCTCTCACTTCTCCACTGGACACAGTCACAGAGACGTGCTGAAACACTTCAACATTCAGTGAAGACCACAGACACATGACCACAAATCCCTGCTGAAGGCCCACAACACACTGACAACAAGAGCGAAGAAACACAGCCCAACACAAATGAGATCTATCTACCACTGGATCTCAGTTGTTACTGTTAGACAGCAACGGCTCGCATCGAACTGCTGAGCCACAAAAGTGCAAAAAAAAGCTTGAGAAGCCTCTAAGGAGACGCTTTGAGAAGATGTGACTCCTCCTTACCTCAAACACCTCCTCATCCAAGATACGTGTCCCGAAGACCACAATGCCTTTGGTGTCGATGATGGGGTGAGGGCTTCTGGATAGCGTCCGTGTCACCTTTTTCTTACAGTCCAAAACCAGAGTGATGCTCTGTTTGTGAACGCTGATCGCCACACGGTGCCACCTGACACAAACACACAAACACACACACGAATGAGGGTCAATCTGTCGATCTGTCTGTCATCCATCTATACATCTGTCTATCCATATATCAATCAATCTATCTATCTATCTATCTATCTAATCTTGTTCTCTATAACTATCTATCTATCTATATCTTGTTCTATCTATCTATCTATCTATCTATCTATCTATCTATCTATCTATCTATCTATCTATCTATCTATCTATCTATCTATCTATCTATCTATCTATCTATCTATCTATCTATCTATCTATCTATCTATCTATCTATCTATCTATCTATCTATCTATCTATCTATCTATCTATCTATCTATCTATCTATCTATCTATCTATCTATCTATCTATCTATCTATCTATCTATCTATCTATCTATCTATCTATCTATCTATCTATCTATCTATCTATCTATCTATCTATCTATCTATCTATCTATCTATCTATCTATCTATCTATCTATCTATCTATCTATCTATCTATCTATCTATCTATCTATCTATCTATCTATCTATCTATCTATCTATCTATCTATCTATCTATCTATCTATCTATCTATCTATCTATCTATCTATCTATCTATCTATCTATCTATCTATCTATCTATCTATCTATCTATCTATCTATCTATCTATCTATCTATCTATCTATCTATCTATCTATCTATCTATCTATCTATCTATCTATCTATCTATCTATCTATCTATCTATCTATCTATCTATCTATCTATCTATCTATCTATCTATCTATCTATCTATCTATCTATCTATCTATCTATCTATCTATCTATCTATCTATCTATCTATCTATCTATCTATCTATCTATCTATCTATCTATCTATCTATCTATCTATCTATCTATCTATCTATCTATCTATCTATCTATCTATCTATCTATCTATCTATCTATCTATCTATCTATCTATCTATCTATCTATCTATCTATCTATCTATCTATCTATCTATCTATCTATCTATCTATCTATCTATCTATCTATCTATCTATCTATCTATCTATCTATCTATCTATCTATCTATCTATCTATCTATCTATCTATCTATCTATCTATCTATCTATCTGTCTGTCCGTCCGTCCGTCCGTCCATCCAAAGTTTTCCATATGTATATGTATTATTTAAGTGTTTCTGCAGTGTTTATGTAGTTACACAGGGCGTCACACCTGTGTCTGCTCACCTGTGCAGGTGTTGGCTTCACACCCGTGTGACAGATTAAATGTTGCACATCAAAGCTAATAATGAAAACCAAACACACTAAATCCTAACCAGACATTACGTAACCGGCCCTGCAGTTTCCAGTGTCAAGAAAATATTGACAAAATCACACAACATATTTCATATTTATTACACAGCTTGTGGTGTGTCTTACTTTCCGTCCGCCAAGTTGACCCCTCTGAAGAGCGGGTAGTCCTCTGGGCTGGGTTTGCCCAGGTGATCCTCGTACAGGAAGACAGGAGAGCGTCCCACCTCCAGACCGAGCTGCTGGATGCCCTGTTCGTTATACACCGACAGCAGGAAGGACTGACTGCCTTTTTTAGGCCTCACCGTCGCCAAGATGGAAAAGTCCTCAGGAAACACGGATGCTAAAGAGGGACAGGGTGTTATTTTTGGAAATCAAAAGTGTTTTGGTGGGGGGTTCTATGAGCAGACAGACGCTGTCAGGTAACAAAGATAAAGTGTTTGACATGGATAAGAGCAGAATGGAAAGCGGTTGGATCTCAGGCACATCTTTGGAAAACTCTGTAACAATGTGTGTGTGTGTGTGTGTGTCTAACTGTGTTGATAAGAGTCTTGAATACACTGGGAAGGAGTAGAGAGAGCGAGAGAGGTGGCGAGAGTAATGAGGAGAACAGCTGTTCCCTAAGAGACATTTTATTACTCTAATGCATCTAGCAGAGAGAGGTGAAGAGAACAAGCACAGAGAGAAAATCACAAGTACAAACAGAGAGAAAAACATATGAATATGAACATTCTGTTACTGTTTACTCAACATCATATCATCTCCAAACTATGACTTTCGTTCTTGTGAGGAACATAAAATGTGATGTTTATTGGAATCTCAGAGTTGACTCTTTTCCAAACAATAAAAGTGAATGGGGTCTAGAGCTGTCAAGCTCCAAAAATGCCAGAAAAGCATTATAAAAATATCATAAAATTGCTCCACATGATTTGTACATTATATTCTTCTAGAAAGTTTGGAGTAATTTTAAAGAAATGAATACTTTAATTCAGCAAGGATGCAATAAATTGACCAAAACTGACATTAAAGGCATTGATGTTACAATTGATTTCTATTTCAAATAAATGCTGTTATTTTAAACATTCTATTCATCAAAGAATACTGAAAAAAATCACTGTTTCCACAAAAATATTAAGCAGCACAACTGTTTCCAACATTGATAATAATCAGAAATGTTTCTTGAGCAGCAAATCAGCATATTAGAATGATTTCTGAAGGATCATGTGACACTGACGAGTGGAGTAATGATACTGAAAATTCAGCTTTGATCACAGAAATAAATTATATATTCAAATAAATTCAAATAGAAAACAGTTATTTTAAATTGTAATAATATTTCACACTATTACTGGTTTTACTGTATTACAGCAAATATATACAGCCTTGGTGAGCAGAAGAGACTTCTTTCAAAAACATAAAAAAAATCCTACAGACCCAAATGTTTGAATAGTGTATTTAAGACCAAAATGTAATATTTTATTTGCTTAAAGATGCATATTTTCTGTCACTGTCTTTAACCCTGATTTCATATTTGAATCTAATCCTAACAGCAAACAAGACTTAAGAGTTTTATGGTGCTTTTTTGAAGCTCGAGAGCTCCTGATTCCTGTCTGGAAAGGAGCAGCTTTTAGAATGACATTTTTGGGTGAACTGTCCCTTTAAGACTGAACTGTAAGTCCAGTCAAACTTCAAAAAACAAAGAAAGAGAAGGGGGAAAAAATGAAGAAATTAAACAGTCTCTTTCTAAAACGAGAAAAACAGACATGACTTCTGTCGCGCGCACACACACACACACACACACACACACACAAACATGTGCCAAACAGATGGACCTCACATGTCCCACTGCCAGGACCTCTGGGAAAATCTAGCCTGCTTGGACAGGAAGTGAGTTTTCCAGTCATCCAAAAGACAAAGCATCCATACATCTGTGCAGTAAACACACCTGATGATTGCTGTAGTGTTTAGTGTGTTTATGCCATTGTGTGGAAACACTTTAATAAACTGCACAGGTTTAGAGTCATTACTGGACTTCAGTTGCATGTTACTAAAAGCTCTCCTTACAGCCTTCCTGGAATCCCGTCTCCATGTCTAACTCCTCCTTTTTCTCCTCTGTTTATGTCTGGAGATATTTTTTGAGTCTTCAGATGTGATTCTGCTCAAGTCACATCATTACAGACAGTCTACATCTCTAAAAACCTCATAAAACACACGTCTCATAATAAAACTAATGAGGTTATTTGAGGTCTGATCTGCACAGATTTCTTAAATGTCTAAAATGTTAATAATCTGAGGCGTCCTCTAAGAACAGAGAGTTTCATTTCTGCTTTTGCTTACATTATGTGCTTAATTTCACACACTGTGTGTATAAATGTCCAGAAATGAAGAGATGGCACCAGCGACCAGACGAACCTCACGATATGTAACGTCCGACTGAAATGGAAATGTTTTAAATCAAAGGGAGGCGTTTATCTAAAAACAAGCTGTGCAGAGAAAACCACTGCCACTGAAAACAACCTTAACTTAAATAACAGTCAATGAGCAAACAGTCAACATTATATTCTGCGTCTAGACATATTCTATTACTGTTTCATAATAGACATTTTAGTATTATTTATACACTTGTAGTTTTAATTAATCATGTGAACTAGCTTTTATTCTTATATTTTCAGTTTTCATTTAAATTTTAGTTCAATTTTAAGTAATTTTGCAATTAATTCAGTCATTTTTATGATTGTATAGTTCACTTTAGTGCTTCATAACCAGTGTTGTTATTGTTAACTAAAATAAATAAAGCTGAAATAAAATAAAATATAAATATTACATGAAACATTTAAGCTTATAAAAATGAAATGAAAATTTAAAATGTTGCCTTGGCAACTGACTGAAATAAATCCGTTTAAGTTTAAGCACTAAAATCATTCAAACTGAACTAAAAATTTGTTAAAACTACTAATACTTGCGTGGAAAAAAAAACGAATAAAAAATAAAGTACTTGACAAAATTGAATCTAAAACTCTAACTATAAATAAATACTATAACTATGAAAGCTTGTTTATGCCACAGAATAAAAAAATATAAAAATACTGGTTCAATTCTTTGTGAGATATTCTTTCCCTGCTGTTAAAGAGCTATTCAAAACTAGATATCACCGCTGTGTGAAGTGAAACAATTTTCTGCACCACTTTATGGTTTTGTAAGTGATATTCTAGATCACTTAATAGATCACAGGGGATGAGGACAGAAAAGAGAAAAGAAGAGTCTGTTTTTCCCATTATCTGTCCTTCATCTCACTCTTGATCTGTCTGTTCCTGGGCATTTCGTGCAGACTTACTGATCCATCAGCCTTCTCCAGAAAACCCTGTGACATGTGCGTACGTGCGTGCGTGTGTGTGTGTGCGTGCGTGCGTGCATGTGTGTAAGTAATGACATTTTTCATGACACTTTTATGATTTCATGAGGTTTGCTACATGCTCACACAAGTGTCATGTTCACAAGCAAGCACCAGCTTTACACACACACACACACACACAAACACAAATACACATGACAACAAGAGATGCTCTGTGCTTAAACACAGAACTGAAGGTCAAAGGGCGGGAGCCAAGGGCCATCACTCTGGAGACGAGGTCTGCCTGTCACCAGGGCAATATGAAACAAAACCAGAGTTCAGAGAGGACGTGATATCTATGGTCTCATCTCTCCCTTCCCCTCCAGTCAGAATTAGGTCTTTATGCAGAAACCTAAAGGAATGCTGAGGAATCACATTACTGCACTCCTGAATCATTGCACCCTGCACAAGTGATTACAAGATCCTCTTTTATAGATCAAACTACTGGTTACGCCTATAAGTACAACTGAATAGTTATTAATTAGTCTTTAGTTACTACACTGAAAAAAATGGTGCTGATTTTCACTCAGAAATTGCTTGTAAATTTCACAAATAATTACAAAGAAACAGCAAGTAGCGCATTGAATTAAACAGTAGCAAAGTGAAACATTTTGTTTAATTAAATAAAATAAAATTTAATTAAATTACTTTTAATTAATTAATATATATTATTATTATAATAATAATATTTAATAATAATAATAAATAACTATCGTAAACTCATTCATTCATTCATTTATTTTATCTTTACCTTATAAATAAATTTATTTATTTTAGGGCTGTCAAATTGATTAATAGCGATTAAACACAACCAAAATAAAAGTTTATGTTTACATAATATATGTGTGTGTACTGTATATATCTATATTTAAATACACATACATACATGTATATATTTAAGAAATATATGTATATACATGTAAATTCTTGTATGTATATATATATATATATATATATATATAGTACACACACATATATTATATAAACAAAATATTATATATATAATAAAAAATAGATAAAATAAATAAATAAATTATATTTACCTTATAAATAATTTAAATTAATTCAATTACATTAAAGCAAGTTTCTTTTTTTAAATCAGAATTAAACATGGAATTTTGAAGTAGAGACTGAAATAGTATTTTCTTGTAAACCGCACACCAATCTTCTTTGTCTTATTTACAGCTTTGAAAATATTTTTTTTACAGTGTAGCCTAAACTGGTTTGCTGGCCTTTAATCTGGTTTTCCAGCTTGGCAAAGAGCTCAATACCTCATTAAAACCAGCAAATCAGACCAGTTTGGGAGACCAGTTATGGTTCAGCTGTGTTTTTATCACATATCCCTTTTATAGACAGAGTCTCTGTTTTTCATCATGTCTTTCTAGAGGTTTGGCTTTCCACCATGTTTACAAACCATCACCAGAACTCCAGTGACCTACGACCCTCTCTGTTACCCTGGAGACACGGCACAGAAGGAAGACAATTGCCTTATGGGTATGGATGAGGAGGAGGAGTGAGACAAGAAGAGGAGGAGGAGTTATGAAATTATGACGAAAAAGAATAGGAACTTCTTGGCCATGAGAGATTTTCTTAGCCAGCTGCATGTGTGTGTGTGTGTGTGTGTGTGTGTGTAAAAAGTAAATCCTGAGCATCTGAGTGAAAAGTGTACAGAGAGAAAGAACATATGCATTGTATTTGGAGCGATAGATGATTCATTTCTTCCATATGCTTTCACTCTGCCTATACGATTCTCAAGCAATCACGCGTGTGTTTACTTAGCTGTACTTAAGGGACCAAATCATCCCCAGAAGTGAGTTAAATCTGACAAAACCTCCCTTCTGAGGACAGCTGGGGACATCCTCAAAGCTAAAATGATTCAGAAATGAAGTGGTTTTTTTTAGAATTAAGAAAAAAAAAATATGAATAAGCATAATCAGCTGAAACCAAATGCAACAGAAGTCAATGACAAATCAAATCCACTTTAAATAGCTAGGCAAATGTGTAAACATTGGACGTACCATGGGCGTCGCTAATAAATGACTACTCAGCCCCCCTAAAATTTAGCGATTAGCTCCATAAACTGTACACGAATTCGTGATCGCCTCAGTCCCCTTTAAATTTCATATGAAAACGGCGGCAGACTTCGATCGGCTCCTCCCCGTCTTTCAACGCGTTCTTTTTCAATCCACAGAGCGCGGCGGCGCAGAGCGAGAAACAGAGAACAAGGTGTGTGTTTATCGATAGATCATAATATTTGCATCTGTGCAGTTCTGTTCTTTGTCATAAATACAGTTGACAAAATATCATGCGGAAGCAATAATCGGTTCTCCATCTACTGTAGCCTAAGTTTTCACTGCATTCATCACACCACAGCTGTTTGAACGCATATTTTATAAACGACCAGGTTGGCATTTTCAACTTGAGTTTGCAACACAGTCAGTGTGATCTGAAGTAAGAGACTCTTACTTCAGTTTGATTTAGTCTCATCTAGTTTAGTCTCATTATGCTGGTATTGCATCTCTCTCCTCGTCTGCCTCGTCTCTCCCTCCTTCCATCAAATTCTTGAGATTTTCAGAGTTCCTTCCAAAAGGACAGTCTAGGGCACCGTGACTCTGCGGCCCATTAGTGATGAGGTGCTCAGACACAGAGAAGTCAGAGAGCAACATGGACAGTAAGGCCCAAAATATACCTAAGTAATATCATGTTTTTAGCCACATACTATATATATATATATATACATATATATAAAAAATTATTATTTTTTTTTTTTAGTCTGGAAACTAAAAAATGTACTAGCCAATGGCGATTCTATTGCCCAGACGTGTGTAAAGGGTTGATTATACAGTATGTCTGCAGAGGATGAGAAGATGAAAGAGTTTCTGAAAGAGTTATTTAGGGCAGAGTGTCTGTGTCCTCTGAACAGACACCAACAGCCCAAACAATGGAAAGATGGAGAAGAAAAGTAAACAGATGCACCTGTGTGTGTTTATGGGTTCATGCATGCTCACGTGTGAGTGTGTGTGTGTGTGTGTTTGTACTCACAGGGGTAGAGTTGTTTAGTAGGAGCGCTAAGCTGTGCATCTTTTGTGACTCTATAGGCGACATCAGGCCCTTTTGATGACTTCCGGTGTGTGCAGAAGCCTGTAGTTTTCGATACACCCTCCGGCAAACTGTGAAAATCTAAAATCTTTAGGAGATCGGCTGGCTCAGCTGCAGAGAGAGAGACAGAGAAACGCAAAATTAGTTTACAGCTATTTCAAGTTACATATAAAAACCAACAATTGTCTCTCAGAAACTGTAACACATTTATACAGCTTTCACACTTTAACACATTCTATAATAAATTATATTATATTATATTATATTATATAAAATGTTTACATTTTTCCTAGGTTTTATTATTCTTTATTTTATATAGTAATAGAATAAAATACAGTAAAATACATACATATATACTGTAAATAATTTATCTTTACCATAAATCTAATTTTAAACATGTATTTAGATTAAAATACATTTTAAACAAAAAATTCACTATTGAATATATATTTCTATTCCTATAAGAAAACTGTTATATTATATTATATTATATTATATTCTTTAAATAAATACATAAACACAAGAAATACATGCAATAAACCCGTTTTTATTTAATTACACATGCACTTAGCATACTATCATGTCAGTATGCATGCTGAAAATAGTATGCATTATACACTGTATACTGTGCAGTATATAATAACGCAGTAAACTAAGTCATCATGCCCACAAAACCACAAATCTGTCGTTAGCAACCTAAAGCACCAATAGAACGAGCGACCACAGCTCAAAAAACCTAGCCAAGTGTTTCATGTGTTTAGAGGTCGGCTGACCATATACGAACACTGGATACCAGGCACGTGCACACATAGACATCAAAGGGGGCTTAAGCACCTGCCCTTTTTCTTCCTTGAGAGAAAGTGCCCTTTTTTCTGTTTGTTTTTTTTTTTTTAATGAATGAATATATGTATATATGTGTGCGTGTGTGTTTCTGTTGCGCACAGCTTTCCCTGTCAAACAAATAAAAAATCAAAATATCAGGTCGGGTAGGGAAATGTTGAGACTTTCTCCCCTCCACGTCTCCACGTCTCCGCAGCACAGCAGTGTAGCACACATTGATCGGCACATCACAGTCACAGTCAGGCAGAGAGCAGCAGAAGTGAAGCCCTCCCTCCCTTTCCAGTAGTGTTTGTCTTGGTGTGGAGGTGAGTGGTGATGAGCAGAAGACTAAGCTACCTGTGCCTCGAATTTACAGCTAATTATCCAAAAGACAAAAGGCAAATATAGTTAATTTGTCTCGCTAACATCCATGACTCATGAGAGCTACCATGTAAGTTAGCTAAAGTTTAGCTAAGGCAATAGGAAGTCTAGGTTAGACCAGTTCGCATTTTTTCATTGCATGATTCAGTTTACTAAAATGCATATAGAATGATCACAAAATTCAAGATATGGGGGCAGATATGTATATTTCTGTCAGGACCACTATCGTCAATATAACTTACGATTAGCATACATTTTAGGTTGGGGGAATGGTTCTGTTCTGGGCAAACACTCCCTGCCCATCCACGCAGCCTAGCATGGACAGGAGCAGGGAGAGCAGAACACCCCCCCCACTAGGGTAACAGAACAGAACCAACATCAATGATAAATGTAGCAGATACCATTAATGTTCTACGTGATTATTTTAACAACATGATTCAGTGGACTGACTCAATGATATATTCACTGCCAAGTCCTGACTGAATGAGAGGAGGAGCTGGGGATGGAGGTGGGTGATTAGTTCCTGAGCGAAGCGATAGCTGCTGAATAATGACTGAAGGGACCTTATGAAGGGAATTATGACTGGTGTCGTGATCCTATAGGTAGACGTGGATCAGCTGAGTGTCAGCTGATGCGAGCTTGACTAACATGGCCTGCCAGAACTAT